GAGGGCGGCGCGACCCCGACCCCGGAGACCCCCGCCCCGCCGACGCGGGAAACCTGCTACTTCCTCAACGCCACCATCCTGTTCCTGTTCCGGGAGCTGCGGGACACCGCGCTGGCCCGCCGCTGGGTCACCAAGAAAATCAAGGTGGAGTTCGAGGAGCTGCTGCAGACCAAGACGGCCGGCCGCCTGCTGGAGGGGCTGAGCCTGCGGGACGTGTTCCTGGGCGAGGCCGTGCCCTTCATCAAGACCATCCGCCTCCTCCGGCCCGTGGTGCCCTCGGCCTCTGGAGAGCCCGACGGCGCCGGCCCCGAGGGCGAGGCGCTGCCCGCCACCTCCCCCGAGGAGCTGGCCTTTGAGGCGGAGGTGGAGTACCACGGGGGGTTCCACCTGGCCATCGACGTGGACCTGGTCTTCGGCAAGTCCGCCTACCTGTTCGTGAAGCTGTCCCGAGTGGTGGGGAGGCTGCGCTTCGTCCTCACCCGCGTGCCGTTCACCCACTGGTTCTTCTCCTTCGTGGAGGACCCGCTGATCGACTTCGAGGTGCGCTCCCAGTTTGAAGGGCGGCCCATGCCGCAGCTGACCTCCATCATCGTCAACCAGCTCAAGAAAGTCATCAAGCGCAAGCACACCCTCCCGAGTTACAAGATCAGGTGAGAGGCGGGACCGGGGCGGGGGGCGGGGGTAGGTATCCCACAGGTGCGGGGGCCTCGCTGCTGGGAAGCCGGGCTTGGGCGGGAGGCTGCTGCCTGCGTGCAGTGGGAAGGGCAGAGGCTTGTCCCAGGTCCCGCTTTTCCAGGGATCTTCCCCACGCTGGACAGGGCCCTAGGTGGAGGCCAGCAGCGCACACCTTTTCTTCGAAGGGCGTCCCTATCAGCTGGAAACCTTTTCGCGTGTCCTTGGGGGCACCAGGTGCGGGCGGTGTGGGTAGAAGCAGCGTATTGAAAGAGGAAGGGAGTTGCACCCTAATCCCCAGGAGTGGGCTCTGGGGCTGTTGAGAAACTCTGTGTGTGGTTGCTGCATTGAGGGCACTTTGCAGCATCACCGTAGCCACGTTGAGAAACTCCCTGGTCACAGAGTGCAGGCAGGGAAAATACCTGGTAGCCCAGGACTGGTATATTTTGCCACTGCAGGCCACTTTTGCTATGACAGCTTTCCCGGGCAGAGGTAGCAGCTGTTGTAAAGGACTACTTTGCCACCACAAGTTGTAAACTGTCGTTCACTGTGCGTGTTGTTTTAATGTCACCGGCCCTCGGGATAGGTTCTCCAGCACAGACCCCCTGCCGGTCATGTGTCAGCTCTGTGGCTGTAAGTTGCTCCCACAGCACCTGACATCACCCTGCAGGTAGTATTGTAATGATAGTGATTTTAACTTTTTCAAGCCCTCCTGTATCTCTTTAGTGGAAGTTGCCTGTTTCTATCTACATCACTAATTTTCTATCAATCTTAAGCATCAATGACACCCAGATAATCCAGAAATATTTTACGTTTGGGTTAGATTATTGACTTGTGTATGTGGCAGATTTACCTTACTAATTATGTCTTGTTCAGGCTAATAGCCCAGAGTAACAGCTTAAAACTAAAACTTTCAGGTGTCAGGAGAGATTTACTTTATAATGGAAATGTTTCCATAGATTTGCAGGTGGTGAACTGGCTGTTCACTGTGTTTGATTTCCTGTTCTGTCAAGTAGGACATAGTTTAGGGAACCTGCTTTAAGCCCTGGAACATAAGTGTGAGAAAACTTGCTATCATAACTTCGATTTGGATATTTTCTGGGTATCTGTCAGATAAAATTTGACTGGCTTGTTATTTGGGGGTTATTTGCAGAATAGTCAGTGGCACTGAGGTTGCATTCATTTTGAGGTTTTTTGTTTTTTTTTAAATTTAGACTTAGAATTCAGTTAAATCTGAAGAAAATTGTGAATAGGAGTTATGAAGCCATTAATAGGTCTATTGCTTTGAAGAATCTTTGTCATCTATCATTGAATAGCATCATCATTTGAAATACAGCCAAATTGCTTTCATTTACTTTACCTGAAGGGACTTTTTAGAAAACATGCATTTGATTATGTGTGATACTTCAACTTTTAAACCTCAAACATTAAATGATCACCTCCAGAAATGGACACATTTGTGCTCTTTATATTAGAAGGCATTTCAAAGGTCAATAAATACTGCACAGAATGTATTACTCAATCTGTAAATATTATTGTATACTTACTATGTGCTTATTGTTCTAGGTGCTGGGGTTTTAATACTGAGCAGCCTCGACCTCTGTGGAACTTGGAATTTAGTGAAAATTGAATTAGCTATACTTAATAAGATTTAAACTAGAATGTGGTCAATGGGGTGGAAGTAACTAGGAAGCTGATTTTAGTTTAGTAAAAGAAAGTGATAGAAGTGTGAGGATGGACAGGACTGTTTTAGGAAGTGTTGAGTTTCTTGTCTGTGTAGCTGTTTTACCAGAAGTGTTTTAAACTGATGTTGTGGAGCAGATTCAAGTTTCAGTTAAGAATGAATTAAAACACATTTAAGATGTATTGTAATTCTCATAATGAAAATTAAAGTAGCTAGTGTTTCCTTTTTTATAGAGGGAATAATGCTCAGAGTAGTTAAATAATTTGCTTAAAGTCACACAGCTGTCAAGTGGTGAAAGCCAGCTCTGATAAAGCTAGGCTGCATTTCTCTTAAACTATACCACCTTGTTCTTAAGGGATTAAATATTTGGGTGCTGCCCCATATAGCATTTCCTTTTTAATCCAGCAGATTTTGTTTCCAAATAGAAGGTCTTGCTAGTTTATCCTTGTTAGCCATCTAATCTACTTAGTAGAACTAAAGCAGTAAAGAAAATTGTGTTGAGTCTTAGAATCCTTTGGCACTGTTATTATATAACAGAAATAATTTGCCAATTAACAGTGTTGTCACTTCCCTCCTTCATTTGTTTTTGCATTTTCATGCTGCTAAGGTGAAGGTGGCCCATCAGGATTGCCAGTTCCTGATGTCTCATCTAGAGATATGAAGGAGCTCAAGTGGTTGCTAAGGACCCAGCTGATTGATACTTCATTTTACCCTGCTAGCACAGTTTGTAAAACATTGTGTGTGTGTGTACACACATACATATATATATTTTAATATATCTTTATTGATTTCAGAGAGGAAGGGAGAGGAAGAAAGAGAGATAGAAACATCAATGATGAGAGTCGTTATTGATCAGTTGCCTCCCGCACGCCCCCGACTAGGGATCTAACCGAGATCTTCTGGATCCTAAGTCGAGGCTCAACCGCTGAGCCATGGTTTAAGCAAATTATTATTTAAAATGAGTTTTAGTATGTATACATTTTCTACATGTTATAATTCTAATTTTACTAATGTAATTCTAAATTCAGCCACCTTATTGTTAATTGCTTTGATTTTTTTTCTAAAAATATATATTTTAAAATAGTAAATTAAAGTAGTAGTAGTTTTAAAAAATTAACCCGAAAATCAGTCTTCAAGAGAGAAAGATACCACTAATGTTCTTGATTACATGGATCATCTTCAACATGAAATATGAGTATAATAGTCCTGAGGAGTTTAAGGTCAGGGATACAAATATTTGAGATTTTTACTGAGGCTTCTGGTTCTAGAAGTATTATTGCTGTGTAGCTAGCACTGGTTCCATACTATAAAGGCCATATTCAGTTTAATATGTTTTATTTGGCCTGCACTGCACAGTGTTTTATTGTTTGTTTGTTTCTTAATTGCCAACATTTAAAAATGGAAGATTATTGATGATTTGAATTTCTGGCTTCTCTTAGGAAAAATGGGAAGTTCTGGCACCAGGGCTGCATTCCTCTTAGCAATACCAGGATGGAGAGATGGAGTCTAGCAGCAGCTGCAGGAAGCTCTTATGCATAGTTTATAGTTCCCACCTGTTTGTTATGGTACTTGCCTGGCCTGTTGTCATATGAATTTGAGACCCTTACTAAATGGGGAGCGTTACTGTTGCCAGTCAGTGAAAATGAGATGAGTTAATAACTAGATAGTAGAGGGTGATAATTTTTAATTGTTTAAATATTATAGTTTTGAAGGAACTTTCATTGAGCAATTTTATTTTATAAAAGATATTATCAGTATAATGTTGAATTTTAAAAAATCATTCTGCCAGAAATATTTTTTAGATTTTTTGAAACATTTTTCATTTTTCTGCAGTATAGTTAAAAGAAGTAGATAATGGCTACTTTTCACTTCTCTAATCTGCAAGTAAGGAAGGGAGGGCGTGCATCTACTTATTAACACTATTTGAATTTAATGAATGAGTATGGGACAAATATTTGAGGGAAATGTCACTTTTCAGGTTGATAGAATGTCTTCTGAACATGAGTATTTTGTTAGAACTGCTTTTTGACTCTTGAAAAACATTCTGATAAATATTTCTGGAAATTTTTAAATATTATTAGTGACTGGAGATAGAAGAGGACCGCTATCCTCACTGAAGATTGTATTTAGTTAGATAGAGCTTTGTTCATATTTATATTTATATCTTCTCTAAGTATACCATTTATTTCAGAGAACAAAATTAGGTTTGGTCTGGAAAGTCTCATTCTATAATGTGGTTTGCAACTTAGTTATTTCTTCTTCAGTCTTTTGAGATGGGGAAGTACAACATTTATTAATGTTAATTATTGCTTTTTTATTTTACTAATTATTTGAGGTAAAGATGATTTTGAGTAATCCATATCTTCTTAAAAATTTTCCAAGTAAATTGCTGGAAGCTGACAAAATCATTTGTAAAGTTAACTGTAATATACTGTATTTATTCACTTACTCTTTTACACTTTTATTTCTATATATGGACAACTTTTAAAAAGTGTCTTAGGTTGAGAAATACTTTAAAATATCTACTACAATTCTTAGTGACTATAGGAATCATAATTTTACTTCCTAGTGTTAAAAACTATTTTGGAGTATAGAGACAAGGACATAGTGTAGCATTCTAGCTGTTCTGAGTAATGATGTAATGTAGTAGCTAATTTTTTATCTGTTGTGCTTTTTCTTGTACTGCGGCTCAGATGAATATCTCTACATAAAAGGAATTGGAAGATCATTGAGATAATTAGGAGACAAGTTGTTTTAAAAAGTCATTTCTTTTCATCAGCTGCTCCTGAAGGCTACCAGTACCTAGTGTGGCGAATATGGTGAAGGTGATAAAAGTGGTTATGACACATTTCATGCTCTCGGGAAAACAAACAACAATCGAAGCTCATGGAAATGACATTTGGATATATTTAAGCGTTTCAGTTATGTAAGAAACAGGAAGAGCAGAAATCAGTATCTCTGCTAAGGCAGACACCTGCTTGCTATGTGTGGTATAATATTTTGTGACCGTAGGTTCCTTGGAATACCTAAATACACTTCAATTTATTGCTGGTTTTACTTCTTGCAAGTTGGGTTTTCTTAAAGCTGGTTTGAATTATTGTGATTTAGGCATTTAAAACATTTAGATGGAAAATAATGAATTGATCGAGTAAATCTTTGCTTTAGAAATTTGATTTGCACATTGAAGAGAGAAGAGTAATTACGAGAAGACTGTTAGATTCTAATCAGTAATATACAGGTCTGTTGGCTTTCCAGGAAAACCCCAGTTTGTTCCTGGAAATAGCCAAAGGAGGT